GTTGTTACCGTCATCAAAAGATTTACTGGAAGACTCAAAACTTAGTAGAATCAATCCTAAAAATTCAAGTATGGCAATATTTTGTGCTGATGTTAGAGGTCCGTGTTTTGGTGGCAAGGATTTGTGTATGTCAAATATGAGCAGCCTAAATAAAGGTTGTTCTACTAAATATACTTATTACGAATCGGATATTTTTAAATCAAGCAAGTTTGATGTAGTTGATTATGAAGTTTTCCAAGTTGTCAGAAAGAAAGTAAAGATAAACGAAAGTTAGGTCGGTGGTGTTACGGTGGACTTTGATGATAATTTATGGATGATGAAAATTATAGAATCAATTTACTAATTTATTTTTGTAATTTTTTTTAAATTTTTTAATAATCAATAATAAATATATATATAATAATTTTGTCAATAAATTAATTCTCTCTTGTCTTTTCTTAAATTCAAATTAATGAAATTTATTTATTTATTAATTAATTTAGAAAGATCTAATATAAAATTATATATATACATACACATCATACATAAAATTTATAATGCTGTCATCACAATATCTATATTATTCTCCATAATATTATATAATACCATCATCGTCATCGTCATTTTTAAATTCTGACAATAGCCTGAGTATTTCATCATCTTCGTTAGTTTTTTTAGTAGTAGTAGTAGTAGTAGCAGATGAAGGAGAATTGTCTTCGAAAAATAATTTATTATCATTATTAAATTAACAACATAGCAATAAAGTTTCGTTGTGATTGTATATGATAATGACGTGGACTAAATCATAACGGAAAATATATTGACTGTAATTGTTATCGTTTTCTGGACATTCTAACCTACTTTAGTTGGTTCAAATTCTTTAATTATCTCTTGAAGTTTAACCAAAATTTGTTCCTGTGTTTGTCTATCTTCTGGAGAATATTTCCTACCGTTGACACTTGATCTATCAGAACCTAAAAATGATGACAAATCAGATGATGATGGATCGCTTGAAAAACTTAGATTGCTTATGATGTTGAGCGGTGGTACTCTTGTTAAAATAACTCTTGGTATTCCTTTTTTATCAAATTCTGCTTTTTCCACGTAAAATGATTCCAATTTATTACGATCAATCTGTGTCAACCGCATGCTTTTAGAATTATGAAGACGTGTCACTAAACCACTAACACCAACGGCAATAATTGCATAATAACTTTTGTTTAGTATACGTCCTTGTACTATGATATTTGAACCAGGATTATTATGAGAATAGGTTAATCCTTTGATAGGTTCTTTTTCACTTTGATAATCTAGATTTAGAAACCTTAGGTAATCTTGAGCTACGGGATTTTTACCAAATTCATCTTTGAATTTTTGATCTTTTGTCAGCCATTCATCTCTTTTATTTTCAGCTATTTTTAAAAAATTTTTAAATTTTTTCTCTGACAATTTACCAATGTCCAATAGTTTGTTACTATTACTATTA